ATAATTTAAAAAATAATTTTTAAATTATATAATTAACAATTTTAAATTTATTAAAATTCTATTATCAAAACAAATATAAAAGGGTAGATTATATAAAGTTAGAAAACTTTAGATCTAGAGAATATAAATCTTATACTATAGTAATAAGAAAAATTAACAAAGCTTAAAATCGATTTTCTGATCATTTGATAATATTAGAAAACTTAGAATTTTTGTTTATGTTAAGATTTTGGTTTGATAAAAGTTTATTCTAGAGTTATAAAAGCTGTTTTAATAGTAAAATCACAAAAAAATTTTTTACTTAAAGTACAGAAAGTGGTTAATTAGTTTAAATTTTGAGATATTTTTTTTTAATTTGTACTAAATTTAGTACAGAGCTAACGAATACGCATTAATTTCTGCATACATGTACATAGAAATATAGAAATAAATATGTTTTAGAATGTAGTATTCTAATATGCGTTACAAGTTTTTGATATATGTAAAACGATAGTATTTTATAATAGCTATATCGATATATTCACACATTAAAATAATGTATGAAAAATGTTAAGTATTTGTAAGTACTAATATAAAAAATTTTATATTATAAGTGTACGTACTATCAAAATTCGTCTGTCCGAATTTGTAGTACCGTACAGTACTACTTTATCGAATAGCTTTATATTATCGACTCTGTCTAAAAAGAACTTTAAAGCTCAACCGTACAAATATGACCGTACAAAAATATGTCATATATATACCATTACTGTATTGAAAAACATCTCTACGTATAATACCTATATACACTACCCTCCACCATACACATTACCCGGGGGTATTATTCTTGGCTCGCACAAGTTTTCTGGTATATACCCAGGATGCTTTATAGGCACTATACAGTATATTCTTCGCACATGTTTTGGGTATCAGTTTAACGAATGATTAAAGATAGACCGCTGGTCCCGAACCGAACCTGATTTGGACCAGTTTAGTGAGCCAGTCGTCTTCCGAACCTGATTTTTTACGAACCATAACATCTTAACGAGTAACTTGACACGTGACCATAAAGCTGTGACCTGAATTTAAGACCGATTATTAATTAGATTCATGTAACACGTGTACCAAATTGTGTATATATGACTTAAAATATTCCACTTCAATTACTTTATAGTCGTCCTTTGAAACTATAATTCCATCTAATAATTGTAGTCAGCTTGATTCTTTGTGACAAATTAAGCGTTGCGAGCACTTTTTTCATCACCTATATGGGATAATATCAATATCAAATATCCCGGACTTAACATATATTGATATTGAGGCAGACAGAAGACGTGAACTGAAAAAAAAATTCAGCCAGAAAAACCCATTTCAAAAGACATCTTATAATAAATAAACGGGTTTTGGCTAACGTTTTGAATAGTTTAAACTTTTGTTGATGATATATTGCTAACCACCCAATTAAGATCTTTTTAATATCGACATTAATTATGTATATATTTCTTATACGTAATTGAAATAAAATAACCTTCATTGAAATCGGGTTAAATGACCTTTTAAATTACAGGAGGATAACAGAATTAGAAATATGAATTGAATATCGCCAAACAGTATATAAATTATTGAAACGAATCAATTATATTGATCTTATAACACAGTTAAATTTTATAATAACCCAAGCGGAATCAAATAATATAGAATTTTTAATATGTGAATAAATGATATATAAATAAACAACTAATCTAAGAGTCTTACGATTGTAATATTTTAAAAAAAGAATAAGAAAGTTAATGAAAGGATAAATCGATATATAATAATCATACGTTACAATTTGTACATGAATTAAATGTAATGATCTTCCAAATTCTTTTTAATCAATTTCGAAAAAAATGTATTTAAATTTGACATTATCATGACATTATCAGCATCAAAGAGTTTGAATCCTAGTTGGTTTGTTCAGACATCTTGGGGAAGTTCATCATCTTCTGATGGATCGTCTTGGTACATACTTTCGAAATACTCTGAAGCAGTCGATGTTGAGGACTGAATGTTTTCGGGGGAATCTTCAGAATTATTAGTAGTATTTTTATGAGCATATAAGAGCTTAGATCGAGTAGTGTTTGTTGTTGTAATTAAAGTAATCTCGTGATTATTTGTTTCATGAACCTTTTTTTTTGTGGCAAAAGTATCAACGAAATTAAGCTCTCTAGCATAAACGTAAAACTCATCGTCAATTATTTCCAGTTGGCCAATTACGAAAATAATTGATTCATGTGGACGAACCGATGTTTTGAAATGCTTAAATTGACTAATATGTGGGAAAACTACTTTGATTATATAATTGTAGTGTTGTTGAAGAAGGTGGTCAGATATAAGTAATTCGATGATTGAATTCTCAGTATGCCTAATTTCCGAAGGCATTGTTTGTGGGATTCCTACCAAAGAAACTTTTATAGGGCATTTATTTGAATCAGCAACTTTATCATCGATTGTTATACTAGTTGAAGCAGAAACAAGCATCTAAATATTAAAATATTAAACATTAAAAAATTTATATTAATAATTTTAAGTAATACATTAAAAATTTATATACTTTTAATCTCTTGTTCCCAGCATAACTTCCCGGTACAATCTTTCCACCAACAGAGTAATATTCATCTCTTTTAAAAATTGCTTGCGAATCAGGGTCACGATCATCAGGATTGATTGGTATAGGTAAAATCATTTCCATTTCATAACCTTCAGATCCTACCGGGTAGGCACCTATAGCCCACATTGAGAATGTTCTCGCATCCTCTTTTTTATTTCGTCGAACATGTTTAATTCTAACAATCGTGTCCGCATAACAAGGCATTATTTTCTTTTGTATTAAAAATTTTAAACGTGATAATATTATAATTTTAATTCTATTATAATTTTAATTCTCATGCGCATGAGATATGAAAGAGTTTCCGTTTCTCGAAAATGGGGATATGAAACATTTATATAATCAAAATAATTTTTATGTAATCATTTTGATGAATATGATAGCTATAGAAGATTACGATGTATATTAACACAAAAATTATTTATAGTTGCGCCAACTAGATTCGAAAAAAATTTTTTTTTTGTGATTTACACATCTCTATGCCAAAACAGGACAACTTATATCTAAATTTGAAGAATAATAGAGATTTATTGACAATGAATTGAAGTCAATAATTTTAAGCTTAGATGCACTCTTTCATGTTAATGTAAAAGATCAGTTCTTAATAACGTAGTTGTGTAACGATTAATTTTTATAACTTCACTCTTTATAACTATGTATCTAACTAAATTGGCTGTCAGTATGAAATGGCGTGCATAATTGACATGAGCTAGCGTGATAGTGATAGAATGTCTATAATGCATCGCATTAGAATTTGTAACGTAAAAAATAATAGTAATCTTGGCCACCAAAATATTGCAGTAAGTACAGCGATAATCATTAAACAAGGTAAACCTGTAAGGTGTATAAATTTAGAAGCCCTGCATAATAATCTACACCAAATTTATAGATGATTTTCGAAAACATTTTCAAATGTATTTTCTAGTCGTATTGAACTGAACGATACTCTTAGGTATGGTAATTTGTTGATTTTTCAAATTTAATGAACAGGTTGCGGAGCCTGCGCAATACGTAGTGTTCGGGTTCAGATAACAGGAGGAAACGTTGATACGTCACAAAATCGTTACACAATTGATAAAGATTTTTTTTATATTATTTTACAATACTTTTTTGGAAGGCTCGTTTGACTTATCTTTTCTATGAATATTGAAAATAATTAAACAAACATGAAGCTCTCACTTTGCTTTACAACATATTTTTTGAATCCCCTTGAATCCCATGGTTTCATCTTTTTGTAAATTTCGCAATTTGATTGGTTGACTAATCCCGTAGTGATATTTTGACTGAGTGATCTGTGTAACGGAGAATGAAAATCATATCTATATTTGGACGTTTCCTCCTGTTGGTTCAGATTAGTTATTCGGATATGGTTGTCCAGATTACCGATAACGACAAAGATTACGTACGTATTGCGCAAATCATTTATTCGTTTCAAATATCGATATGAATCACTTTCTTTTTTATATACGATTTAAGTAATTTTAAATGATATAATTTAATGATAAGGGTGAAAATAGTACGTACATACGTACTGTACATACAATACATTGCTTTCTTAAGAAATTTCTAAAATATTCGGGATTTATCCGTAATTTGGTAGATCATAAAATTTCGAATACGTATTCATTTTGGAAAGTAGCCTTTTTGGGATTTAGCTGAAGATATGGTAACGGTAATAGGCGATGCTATTATTAAATGGATTAATATTATGTATTAAGGTTAAAAATAGAAAATTCTTTCCTTGTTAATAATATTACAAATAAAGGAATATGAATATACTTGTCGCCAAAACTAAACTTTTCCAAAATCAACCAAAACATAAGGTCGACCTGAATTCCACATCCCAAATTCCAAATTTCAAATTATGACAAAGTCGACCCGAAATTCCAAATTATGGAGGTTTTGCCAGCAAGTATATATCAAAGTACTAACCGTGCTGCCTGAAATTCTATCAACAAAGATTAAATATATTTATTCCCGTGCAACATTAGAAAATGAAACGCAAACCTTGTGATGAAAGAAATCAGTTCTTCATTATGACATTATGCATACACATTACCAATCAAGATGTCTCATGATCATATGCTGAATTTATGTCCAATAAAAAAATACATGTATAATGTGCCAGGAAAATCTTTTGATCACAAATATCTTTAAAAACAAGATTTGATCTTGATCATTCTCATAAAAGAAGGCCGGCTAAAGTGGCTTTGCTAAATTTTCTGAGTAATATCACCAAAAAGGCAATAATCATTCAGAGTACAAATTTTATCGTTTGACCATTGAATGTGAACACGTGCGAAAGAGGAAAAACGGAAAATCGAGAAAATTACGCAGTTCAGATAAACTTTTATGCACTAATTCAAAATAACTGGAATAAAATTTTACATATATAATAGCCATTAATTTGTTTCTACGTATATCCTTTGATGCAAACCCTAAATTTCTATCTTCATTAGTTTATTTTTTATATTAAATTTCCTTTTTTCTTCATCCAAGTTTTAACGTTAACGTTAAAATATTTAAAGTAGATAAAGCGCGTGACATATCCAAATTTCCAAAATAGTAAAGTAATTGTTTTCAAATCTAGTAACTGGCTTATCCCAAAATGGACTAAGACTATAGTTTCTTGTGCTTTTTATTCTGTTTGTTTTCTTTTCGGACTGACATACTCCGCTTTAGCCTACCGATCTTTTGATCTATTGCACTTCCGATTGGTTATTCAACTATTTATATTGTTTTGATTGATTTATAAAAAGTATAAATAACCTAACTTTGCTCAGAAGAAATTGTAAAAAAAATATATATATTACTTAATTTTTTATAGGTACGGTGTAATAATGTTTTTAATGAAATATTTATCAATATTTTATTAACATGGTCTCTCCATATAGGATGGCTAACAATAATGGTTCAGTACCTTCAAATTCTCCAAGGAGACTAATTTTTTCGTATATATACAGTGAACAACTAAATATTACTGCCGACGATCAAGGTTTCAATTATTGTTATACAATAAAAGAAAGGAACAATATTCTCAATACCGACGTGGATAATGATTTCAAGGCTTCAATAGACCAAAAAAAGAGCCATTGTCGTTTACAGAAAGTCACTTTTACTTTCGTTCCGAGTAGGAATAGGAATGATAATTACCGTACGGTAATTTATAATGGTAGTGTTAATGAGGTGCCTACTGAAAAAGCCAAATTGAATGCTTTAAATTATTGTTATGAAACTAGGAATGGGGGAATTTCCCAACGCACAGCGAATGTTGAACGTGATTTTAGAAGAAGTAATACCCTTTGTAACCAGGAAAGGACGTATGTTCTATACAGTAGTTCTGATACAGCCGTGGAGGGATTGGTCGGAATCTTAAAAATAGATTACTTCTTTGAATATTTTAATAGAAATGCCGTGTCATGACAAACATTTTTGATGAGATATAGATTTTGCTACGTGTCATTTTCAGATTTTGCTAACTGAAAATTGACGTTATACTAATTTTTCTTAATTTACACGGATTAAAATTAGTTTTTAATATAAATTTTATCATATATATTTTCTTTTATTTTTATCATATACATTTTCTTTTATTTTTATCATATATATTTTATTTTTATCATATATATTTTCTTTTTATCATATATATTTTATTTTATTTTTATCATATATATTTTATTTTATTTTTATCATATATATTTTATTTTATTTTTATCATATATATTTTATTTATTTTAATTATATTTTATCATATCTTATTATTCCATATTTATTATATTTTATTATATTATACCATATTTATCTTTATTTAAACCTTGCTATCTTTCAACCAAACCAATCTCTAACTGCTACCTTCTCTAAACCCTTTCCATTCGAGCCCCTTAAAAAATTAGCTAACTTAGCAGAACAACAATTTATGCAACTTAATAATACTTCTACAAA